ATCCCGTAACTGTATAACGACAACGATTACGTTTGGTTTACTATCATTTAACCAATTCACCCATTTATTCCACTGAACTCAAAAAATTGAATCAAATGCTCATGATTGTAATGAATGTACTGATTGTCAAGGAATTTTTTTTCCTGCGTTCACTGTTTCAAATATCACAAACGAATTTATAACGATGAATTGTATAGCGGAGATAAAGATATCGACAATCTAATAAAAGAATGTAACAAAATTAATCATGGATATCCAAATATATTCGAATGGACTCCTTTTGAAAGATTTGCCAACGTTGAATATCTTGCAAAAGGAGATTTTGGGTCAATTTATAAAGCAACCTGGTTGGATGGACCATTGAAATATGATTACCGCTTTTATAAGGATAAATACTATCCCAAATGGGAACATGAAGAAAATAAATTTAAACGGAGAGGTAAAGAAAAGTAGTGTTGAGAACATTACATAATAGCAAATTACGCCAGAGTTTATACACGAGGTAAAAGTAAACATTTTCTAAGATGAAAGCCAGTTGCTTTTTTGTTTTTAATATAATTTAATTTTCAAAAATATGTTCAAACTGAGCTTAAATGTTATGATTACGGATACTTGATAGCTTATTATGGAATGACTAAAAATCCTGTTACAAACGATTACTTTGATAGTAATAACTTATGCGTTCTATGGTGAAGTTCACAAATAAAGTAAGCTCAAAGACAGTGTCAAATACTCACGATTGTAGTAAATGTTTTACTTGTCAAGATAATATTGACTGTGATGACTGTTTCAAATATCACAAACGAATATATATCGATGAGTTGTTTAGCGGAAATAAAGCTAATAAAGAATGCAGATGGATTCCTTTTGAAAGATGTACAAACGTTGAATATCTTGCAAAAGGAGGTTTGGGTCAATTTATAAAGCAACCTGGTTAGTTAAACCATTAAACGAATGGGGATCATGTAGAAAATAAATTTACACGATATGTAGAAATTGAAGTTGTGTTGAAATCCTTACAAAATTCAAAACAAATTACATCAGAGTTTATACACGAGGCAAAAAATAACATTTTTTCTAAGTAAAAATTGTTTTTGTTTAATGCTATGATGCTGATTTTATTAAATATTATGGAATAACTACCTATCGCTATGGGCAAATATTCGATAATGATGGATTATGCTCTCCGTAATACATGTATATTAATAATTACGAAAAATTAACTTGGGAGCAAAAATTAAAATATTTATTTTGGATTATCAGTGATCTGAAAAAATTCACGAAGAATTGTTTGTACATCGTGACTTTCATCCTGGAAATATATTAATATTAGATAGAATGCCTCAAATAGCTGAATTTGGGCTTACCTGTCCAATGAATATAGATAAATCTAACCAAGAAATTTGTGGAGTACTTCCTTATATGAGGCCAGAGGAAAACCATATACTCAAGCTGCAGATATTTATAATTTGGAATGGTTACGTACGAAATTGCAACAGGTGAATTACTATTTGGTGAACGAAGTCATGATATACAGTGGCCTATCAAAAGTCACCGGACATCATGTGATCCCCAGTCGTTTTGCAAATAACACTGTTTGTTTGAATTAGATTTTCTCCACAACGACTTTGTTGGTTTCATTATTCTTTTTTTTTCCTTGAATTTACTTTACTTCGACTCTGCAACACGCTAAATTATATCTTCTAAAAGTTTCGAATCAATGAATAAAATTATCAAACAAAAAGAGCTCTCCATTTTTGAACGTGGAGAAATTGTTAGTGCTTGGAAGTGTGGAATCAGCATACAAAAAATTGCTGAAATATTAAAATCAGTCAAAAAGTACTGTACAGTATGTTATTTCTGTTTACCAAAGTTTTAATTGTGAAAAACCCCCGCCCTGAAGTGGCAGACCACATACAATGACAGAAAGAGATAATCATTATTTACAAAGAATTCTTAAAGAAAATCAATGCATAAATCTTCAAGAACTATGTGAAAACTTTGTTGCCTCTATCTCAACTAATGTAAGTACAATTATCATTCAATGTTAATTACATGAACAAGGTTTCTTTGGTCAGATCAGAACCAGAAAACTGCTTGTGAATGAAGTCAATTGGCAAAAGAGACTTCTCTGGGTTTAGAAATGGCAAATATGGAAAAAAATGGGAAACCATTATTTGGAGTGATGAATCTAGGTTCAAATTGTTCAGAGAAAATGCTAAGAAGTATGTTTGGAGATAATCTTATGAAAAATATAATGTTGGGTGTCTTATTCCAACATTTAAATTGGGTCAAAAAGAAGGGATTATTTCATAAAAAATGAACTTGGTCTGTTAGTTAGGTTAGAGAGGAGAGTGATAGCCAATATATACATAAATATGCTAGAAAACCATTTGTTACTATTTCTAGATACTCTAGATAATAAGAAGAATTATATTTTTCAGGAAGATAATGCATCTGTCTATATAGCAAGCAAAACTAAAAAATAGAAGATAGAAAATAATATAAGTAGTATTCTGTGACCTGTCCAGAGCCCTGACTTGAATCTTATAGAATATTTATGGGATGAATTAGAAAGATAAGTTCAAATGCATAAACCATTATTCAAAAATTGTGAAGAATTATGGCAAATACTTTAGAATGAGTGACTGCAAATTGATAAAAGTAAATACAAAAATTTTATTAATAGTATGCCATATTAATTTGCAGTAGTTATAGCTAGTAATGGCTATTCAACAAAATATTAATAAACAAAATTATTTTTATCTTACAAATAAATCAAAATTTATTGAAATTGATAGTGATTATCAGGATAATCAAGTTTTAAGTTGGCAATAAATTTGTATTAATAATGATTATTATCAAGTATCCAATAATTTATGATAAGTTACTGTACACTTCCTAGTCAAAAGTATTTGATCACTTTAAAACTGGATAAAAATACACAAACTTCAACAATTAATTTCTTGACAATTTATAAATAAATATTATAAAAAATTTATATCATTTTATTCAGAAAAATATGAATTTTATTAATATCTAGTTGAATTTTCATGGCTATCTAATATTACTTGAATTCTTAGCAAACTTTCAACTAAATTTGTTAAAATTTCAGGCTCAATTTTATTTCACTTCTTCTTTAAAACTATTATTAATTCCATAATATTTTTTGGATGAGATTTATATTCCCTAATTCTTCTTTCTAAACATCCCACAAATATTCAATTAGATTAAGTTCTGAACTCTGTACAGGTCATGAAAGACTTAATACCAAATTTTCTTCTTTTCATTGATTGACCATTCTTGCTCTATGTATTGGAGCTTTATTATCTTGAAAAATATATTGTGAGTTGTTTTCTAAACTATTATAAAAGAGTAAAAAAGTATTTTCTAATATATTTATATATATAAAACCTGTTATTCTAAATGAAACTTGAATTAAAGGACTAATTTTATCTTTTGCAAAACATTTCTATACCATAATCTTTTGATTTTCAGATTTTACTGTTGGAATTAAGCAACTCACATCATATTTTTCATGTAATCTATGCCAACCCAATAATATACATTATTTTGAAATAAAATAAAGCAAGATTCATCATTCTAAATAATAGAATTTTACTTATCATTCCAATTTCTTCTTTCACAGCATCATTCTAGTCATTTTTTACAATTTAGATCAGAAAAAAATAGTTTTCTCTTTCCAGCTCATTCATAAATCTCTCAATATGTATAGTACACTTTATAGTACTAGAAGATATCGAAATTGATAAGGATTTACTAAATTTTTTTGTCATTTTCTCTAATGATTGTTGCTGATCTTTCTTAACTAATTTTATAAGACTTCTAATTTCTCTTTCTGTGAATTTTGTTGGCCTTTCTGAATGTGAAGTATCTGTAACATTTCCTGAATTTTTATATTTTGTTATAGTGTCATGAATAGTAGTTTAGAATGTTCAAGAATTTCTCTAATATTTTATTCACTATGGCCTCCTTTCCAGAGACCTATAATCTCTCCTCATTCAAACTCAGTAAGTTCATGCCTTTTGAACATTGTAAAAGAAAAAAATTTTATTTTTAGATAGCTAAAGTCAAGAGCTGTATGGAAAAAAAATTTTATTTATTTATGCTTAATAGTTTTGGCATAATCTCATTTTAAAAGATAATAATCTGTAATCTTAAATCAGGTGATTGGAGACTTTTGACCGAGAAGTGTACATCTTGTATTAGATATCTATAAAGAAGTATAATCTATGATACCAAATAATATTCCCGAATATTGCAAATTTATTATTAAAAATGTTGGGATTCTATTCCAGAAAACAGACCAACTGCTAGGGAACTTATAGGCTTTATCAGATCTATCAGAAATCCAAAAAAAATCATGTAATTGAAACTAAATACTTTATATCTTTAGTATTAAATCAGATATAAAAATTAAAGAGTGTCTTAAATTAAAGAGATAGCAATGGAAATCTTGATAAAAAGTCATAAAAAAGTATTCCTACAAAAATTATTGGATCTCTTAAGATAAAATCACAAAAAAGCATTTTTACAAATAAAAATGAAAAGCAATATATCTACTCAAATGCAATTTATACAAGTCAAATATTTATTTCAAAATTAATATCAATGCCAACTGATAGAGATAATATATATTTGTTTTTTTATATTTAATCAAAATGATATTTCAGATTGTTTTAAATATATTAATATTTAGATTCTATAAGTGTTAGTTTATATATTTCATGAAGGAAAATTACATTTGATATTCTTTCTTTTTTTAATTTTATATTTTTCTTTGATGAAAAAAAAGAATTGATATTAGTATATTGATATTACATGAAATTAGTCTATATGATCTGCTTCAACTTCTTCTGCTAAATTACTAGCATTAATAATAATAACATGTGACTTTTTATATAGTCTATAAAAATACAGTCAGATCAGTAAATCTGGTTCTTATAGTATTTTTTCTTATAGTGATTTTTTAATATATATCATAATTTATTAGTTCTCAAAATCTTATATTCTTGTAGAATTTGTTGGTATAACTGTAATTATATCAATATTTATATTTATGGAATTTAAATATATATTATATTACCAATTTGACTATTATCATGGGCAAATTTAATATGTGTATCTCATAAACTCAATATAATAAATTGTATCTTTTGAATATCTGTTTAGTTGTTGCAGCTTTTTGCAGATGACTTTTGTAGTTTCTCTCATTGAATCTGAGTTCATTTTGTTTAGGTTGCTTTATATATTGTCCTAGACTTACGTTTTTAAGATTAATAACAATTCTTTAATTAGACTGTTGAGAGTTAACCCCACGTGTATGCAAATTCATTTGTGGTTATATTACTACAAATACGAGTATCTTTAAATTCACTTTTGTAAACGATTTTCTGCTGTGTCTATATATAAATTTAGGTGTTAGAAATGATAGTAAAGCAAACAATACTTAGTAAAAACATTTCTTTGTATTATCTTTATTATTACATTTGCAGTTGATTTCTGAACGCTCGCACCGACATAAAATATTATTCATTAAGTATTTGATGAAAAAATTCATAATATTTGCTTTTTTATTCATGTGCAATCGAAAAATCTAATGCTAACGTTAAGGAATAATTTCATTCATCTCGTTTTGCTGCATTATTATTACATCTCAATGCATTTGTTATGAAAACGAAAGATAAAATGTTCAAGAATAATTAATTTAAAGAGATCTTATTTAAAATTATTATATTTTTCATAGCAAAAATTTTCTTATATCTTACATATATGCCTTTGTGGTTAATTAAAAAAATTATGCTTTTTTTAGTCAAATAATACAATTTCGATTTTGTCACATTTCATTAGGAAAAATTATTTATTAAAAGTTTTTATGCATAACACTAAACTGCTTTATATTTTATTAATAAACAGTTTATATATTTGGCTTTTGTTTAACTTATTAATAACTTCGTATAGTTATCAAAGACAGCATGGAGTAGCGATAGAAAAACGTAATTTTCAAAGCATGTCCATAGTTGTGATTATCACGGCTAGCTACTATTTGAATCTTTCGAATATGATACCAGCTAATGGCACTTAAAGTTTTTTCCGTCCATATCCTGGCTGCCAGCTTCTGCTAATACGAACGAATTTTGACTTTTCACAACTAATATTCTTAGATTCTAACTTATCGATAACAGAGTCATAGCTTTTTCAATCAGACAATGAACATTCGTGACTGACAATTTAGCCTCTGTATTCAACTCTTGCACATTTTCCCGAAATATATATGTTAATAACGAGCCAAGTAATTTTGTTATTGTCGTTGAAATACGTGATTTTTTTGAATGATTAAATCAATTCATAAGAACAAAAAAATGCACGTAATTTTATAACGATTATATTCTGATTAATGTTTCAATCAATCAATTTTAAAACATATTTTAATTCATAAAAGGTCCAATCTGAAAATATATTTGTCAGTAATAAAACTATGTTCCCTAATTAAATTTTGAAATCTAAGAGGATTCTTGAAATTGGAATTTTTTATTGCTGTAATAAACTCTTATATTTCGTTTTATTAGACGTACTGTATTTGCTATATCATTGAAGTTTCACCAGGTCATGTTGTAAATTTATAAATATAGAGCTGATTTAGTATGTGTTGGTTCATTTTATTGTTGCCATAAAGTTAATTAGCAGATAGAAGATTAAAATCTTTTACAAATAATGAAATTTTCCAACGCAATAGCTCAATTTTTGTAATTTTCCTTATCTTTTTGTGTTCCGATTCCATTTCGGTTAAAGCTCCGTTCGGTTCGGATCAAACTGTGACCTGAACCGAATCCGAAACGTTTCCGGTTCGGATTGCTATTTTTCAATCCGAAAAAAATCGTTTCGGTTTCGGGCCGTTCCGGTTCCCAGTAGATCCGAAATGGTATAATCCGGCCGGTTTGGATCGATCCGATGATTTTTGATTAATAGTGTGTCTTGCATATGTGAATTTAATCGTTAAATGTGCAATTATATGTAATCCTGAAATACTATCATCTAAATGTAATTATATCATATAAATGACAATAACAAAAGTTTCAAAATCATAAACTACTAATCGCAAACGATTCCAATTGTTTTTTGCCGAGATATCATGCGGTTGAACTTTAACGTATGAAAAACTAATATGCATTCTTTTTACATCTCTTTTTCAATGAACTAATAATATAATTTTCATTTTTCAATCAATTGCTCGTTAAGTATAACGATATATTAAATTTATCTAAGTTAAAAAAAAATGAAATTGTAAAATTATAAAATCATAAAATAAACTCTAGTTCTCAGTTCGCTCCCTGCCTGGAAATTATAAAGCAGCTTCTCAAAGCTAACATGCAATGGTAATCGAAACTATAGTATTATCCGCGTAATGACTTCCTTCACGCAATGCAACGGATATGAAGAAAATAATTTGATTTCATAGTTTTTATATAATACCCAACCCATAATTCCCTGGGAGTTAAACAATTTGTCATATCTTTGTAGTCATTGGTACGAGATATTTTATTACAGTAGTAATTACATGTCTTGTATATTTGGAAAAAGAATACATGTAAATAAAATTTGTGTCCCACACACATAAACACACGTTTTATCGATCTTTATTGTGGCATGTATTATTCGACTCATTTTGACAGATAATGAGAATTATATGTACTCAAAATTTAGCGGTAGAAGTTTTGTACATGTAGATGTAGATGTATTATTTCAAAGATTGTTATTATATATAGTGGCTCATGGAAGAAATGGAACACGAGAAAAAAATTAAGGTAGGTGCATTTCATTCGTTAAAATGCTGCTCATCAATCAATGCAAATTTTATTTTCATCCATCATTTCTATTTTACATAATAATTTTTT